AACAACCAAATAAAATGCCAAAGAGCAAATCATATCAATGTGATAACGTAGGTAAGGGGTGGACCTCCCCATATTGAGCGATAACCCAACGCCAATCAAAATGATAAAAGAGACTTCTTTATGGACTCTATCCCGGCGAAGCCACAACGTAGGGGAACACAAAACGGCCATAGCACCATGAAAACGCGATTGATCGCAACAATCGTTTACGAAAAGTGTCCAAAGGTACTACGTATGTAACATATAATGTATGGTAACATAACACAATGAATACCACATACGAGTAAGAGTAGTGCATGTTCCACGACAGCTGTCGGTGATAAGAAAACAACAGAGAGCCACGCGTGAGTACCGCCTGGCCACGTACGCCCAGATACAGATACAATGGGCATTCCAGACAGAATTTGCTAATCAAGTGACACGCTAGAGGAACGAACTACCGTTTATGTGTAGGCACTTCTCTTAAAAGCTGGAAAACCCAGATGGAAGATTTATTATTAGTTTACTTTCTCGTATTTGTTTTGCAGTCATGAAATCTGGTGGGGTAGCCCCTGTTTGGGGCAGATAAGTGAAGCGGGTGGTAGGTAAATTTCAGTCATAAAAATTAAACAAATTCAAAGCTGTATATTAGTGGCCGTTAAATTGTAAAAAAACGCAAGTCAGATAAATCTGGCAGCTTCTGTTTCCATTGCATTGCGAATTGGAGAGTCAATTGTCTGGGAGCTCTGCCATAACGGTACCTGGAGCAAAGTAAGTGAGCATTAGAGCGAGAGCGAGAGGGAGAGTGAGGGATTGAAAATAAAGTACAGTTAATAGTTTCTTGAGCAGCTGTCCATCTCCCTCTCACTCTGCAACTACAATTAGTAAAGCAACTAGCTTTGAACTCAATTGAGATGAAGCGAGAGAGAGAAGAGGCACTCGCACAGTGGTTGGCATGGCCATTAACACGCACACACTTTCGGAAAAGGGTTCAAATGTTACGAGGGCCATGTGGAATTAGAGCTAAACCGTCAGATGTGTGTATGGGTATGTTAATTATGTCAAAGGTATGGCTTTCTGCTCTAAAACGTAACTCAGGTAAGTGCATGCTCAATAGCTGTTATGAAAATGATTCCTGGTTTTCAGCTTCCCCAAAGTGTACCTTGCCTTCCCATTGTATCAAAAGTATCAAATGCAATGCAGCAGCAGCAGCAGAAGAGAGGATTCGACTGGCAATTGCTTTTATTAAATGACGGTGCAAGTGAGAGCGAGAGGAAAGGAGGATCACGATCGGTATGACAGAGGGAGAGCGCTAGCGAGACGGAGGCAGGTAAAAACCAGTCGTTAGGGGGTGGCAGGGGGGACACTCTGGCCGGCCTGGCCTGGTCTGCAACGCTCAACTGGTTCTTAGCAGCTAACTTGTTTTTTCTGTAGATTGTTTGCCGTCTGAGGTTTTTATTTGCTAATTTTATTTGCTATTTTTATGGTAGCGGGCCAAAACGTACCTTAATCCAAACCAAATTATTGACTCTTTTTGCGATCCACTTGTGTATTATTTTGTTGTATTTCCAAATAAATTTCGCGTTGCGTGCCTTTTTTAGGTTTATTTAATTTTTATTTATTTTGCTATTTTTTGAGAAAGAAAAGAGGAATTTTGAGCGGATGCTGCGACCATAGCAACAGAATCAGCACCATATGCTGCATCTCGCTCTTGGCAACTTATGATAACCGAGGTCAGGCAGGAGGAAGGAGCAAGGGAGATGGAACATCGATGCAATTTCGTAACTGGATTTTTACGATTCCTCCTGTGATTTGGGAGACGCGTGGGGGGAATTTGTTTTAGTTCACGTTTTTAGTTGTTGCACCACGAACAAACACACGGTAACAGCCACACAGCCACATACATCAGCACGGAAATCAAGAAACAATACAAGAATAACCAAGCGCAAGAACAAGACAGCAAGTACAATAACAAAAACCACACACGCTAGACTGAAACAGCAACCACAATCAGCCGCTCACTTTTTTTTCGTCGTTCATTTCTTTGCGGGAATCCGAATTATTTTTGTTGTTACTTTTGCCACGAATTTAGTAGTGGCCCTCGCTAAGAATTTCAATACAAATATTATGGCCTGGCCTCAATAGCATTTTCACTTCTTCACACACACTCGCACACAAAACACGGAACAGTTGTTGTTAGGGGGTATCATAAATGAAAACATTCAAATATTACATTGTAGCGGGGAAATTTTCCCTTATTATTGGATTGCAGATATTGCAGATGTTATGTTTTGGCTTTCACACGAAATTCCCGACGAAACAAAGAAACAACAAAACAAACGACGACGAAGAGCGTAACAACCAAAGGAATTTTTCAACAAAAACCGCACTAAGGTAACAATTTTATTGTAATCTTACAGAAAAAACATTGAACTGAGGGATGTCTGTGGAATAAACGAAACCACTTTTCGGAATTGTTTAAAGCGCCGCCAACCGCCAAGTTTAGTTTCCGTTGTTTTATTGACAAATTGACGAATTGCGGAATTGAAGAACTGACGAACAGTGTGACCGCGGAATTATCGATACCGCCAGACCATCGAAATTATACCAAAATATACCATTGAATCTTGAAAATATACTGTAAATATACCGTAGTCTTAAACGCCATTCCACGATTTTGATGTTCTATTTAATATTACCAGCTTGAAAAGACTTTTAACACTGAAGCAGTAATAAATTTCGATTGAATTGTCAATTTGGCTTATTATAAAAACATATTTTTATTGGAGTGTATACCTTATGACCTTATATTTGTTACGAGCCTATTTGGTGTTGGAGCACGGCCGGCTAGCCAGTCATCCCAGGGCTGAGTTCTTCCCAAGCCCTCAGCACTATTTGTTAATTTGGTAATAATATTTTGAACATCTCAAACAAATACCAAAAAAAAAACGATAATTCAAAAAAAAAATGAACATCGGTTTTTACTCTACAATATAACCAACAACCATCTCTCCGACACAGACGTGGACAAGTTTGAGGTGCCGATAGTCGACTTTTGACATACCCTACCTGAGATCCGACTCAGAATGCCTCAAATCTTCTGCCCCCCCCCCCCCCCCCCACACTACTAAACACACTTAGCATTTCCTTTTAACGTTATAATATTTCACTCAAAAATTAACACATAATTATCTACTACATTTAAGTAGCGCGTCCACCTATTTACGCCTCTTCAAGTTAAATTATTGGTTGAAATATAGATTTATGAGAAAATAAATATAAATACTGTAAATATACATTGAACTCATTCTCGTAGTTAAAATATCCCCAAGAGTATACAATATACCGTCGATGAGAGGGATAAGCAGTATGTAACTAATACCATGTGAAGCGTTTGTTTTTTGAACATTGTTAAGTTTACTTCTATATTTATCTACTAGTAAAATCACCTTCAGTTTAAGCCAACTGACCCGCGGATGCAAAGGTCCAGCACCAATTCCTGACCTACTATACAGAGAATTCCCTATGCGGGGCCTCCATTTTCCAGGGCACTGCACCTGATGCCTTCAGATACGTTGTGAAACCATCACGAATGAAGCTAGATACGTTCTCCCTTCCATGCAACTATATGGGATGCTGGGCAAGTTCCATTAAAATGATATTCGTGCGCCACTAGCCCGGAATCAGGGACATGTGGTCAGTGTCCTCCTTCTCTAGTCCCTTGTGCAAAGTACACGTGGGATATCACAGGCTGCTCCGTGTTCAGCTTGATTTCTGTTTCCAGGGCGGCTAGACACGATACCCAACGCATTGGAGACCACGCTATGGGCACGGTTCAGGCGGTAGTTGAAGACTTTTAATTGTCGAGGGCATCTCGTGCTGCTTAATCAGCCAGGGTTGCTCTTGTGCGGCGAAGCTCTTGTGGGCCATAAAAACGTGAGGCAGTTCCTCATCTATGCCTGGCAGCCACTTCTTGTGCAGATTACTCTCCAAGTCGTTGTACAGCAAGCTCTCGGTAAAGGCATCCGTCGCTCCGCCTGGGCTGCTGGCATCGACGTACAGGAATCTGTGCTGGACCAGGGCCAGCATAATGACAGCATAAGGAACTAATGTTGAGAGTAGCACAGCTGCTCAAATTATTTGGCTATGCCCAGTTTTCCTCCGTTTGTGGCGCCTGCAGACAGGTTGCCTTTAGCTCCTTTACTATCGCCATGATGACCTCTTCCACAATATATCTCATGGACGGCTTGGGCACTTGCTAGACGCTGGCAAGTGCGCTCCGCCATTGCTTGAGCAGTTTCCCAAATGTCGAAAAGATTCCTCATTACTGTAAGTACACGCCACTGGCACCGTTCTAATAGGTGCAGCTCCCTTACGGCGGGTATGCTCTTCCATTACCCGTCTCCAGCTTGATCTTGTTCCTCTAGATCGGCCGCTATTTGGCCTATTTTGAGGATGTCGTGAATTAATTGCTCCCAAGCAGCAGCCATTACAACTAGAGCGGAGAAGCAAGTATCGAAGCAAGTTAAATATTGTGAAGAACATACGCCAGCGAATGCAGCCCTGCAACCAGCATACAAAAAACCTAAATAGTCCAATCTTATTTTGTAATCAATCGAATAGAAGGGAGTTTTAAAAACTAGATAATCTTGTTTAAATTAATCCATCAATCGCATAAAATTACATATCCAACACTAAGAGTTTTGTCTTGCTGGTACTCTTAAGCCGAATATTAAAATGGAGTAATATGATTCATAGCCATGGACAGGGAATGATTAACACTTTGGTGATTAACAAATGTTAATTGAATACACTCACGGATATTAGAAAGAGCATCTCAGGTGTAAGATATCGGTTATGTTTGGTCCTAGAATATTAGAATTAACCTGTTTCAATAGACGGGGTACAAGGTGGGTTAAGTTTTGACTTTTCATATCGGCATGTTTACGGTATTTTCGTCCACGACATGGTATATTTCGGTATATTTCCAAGGTATATTTTATCGATTGATCCGCGGTCACACTGGCTGAAGCGCTGAAAAAGTGAAAAAAAAACGACGTCGCAAGTGAAAAAACCCGTGAAAAAGTCCTATTGTCCCGAAATAAACGCAAATCAAAGCGAAAATGAATGAGGAATACGACGCCATCGTCCTGGGCACGGGCCTCAAGGAGTGCATCCTGAGTGGTATGCTGTCCGTGTCCGGCAAAAAGGTGCTGCATATTGATCGGAACAAGTACTACGGGGGGGAGTCGGCCTCAATTACACCGCTGGAGGAGCTCTTCCAACGCTACGGTCTGGAGCCGCCGGGCGAAAGATTCGGGCGTGGCCGCGACTGGAATGTGGATCTGATCCCCAAGTTTCTGATGGCCAACGGGCAGCTGGTGAAGCTGCTCATACACACGGGCGTCACCCGTTATCTGGAGTTCAAGTCCATTGAGGGCAGCTACGTCTACAAGGGTGGAAAAATTGCCAAAGTTCCGGTGGATCAGAAGGAGGCTTTGGCATCCGATCTCATGGGTAAGAGTGTGCAAATTTTCTGCGTTTAAAAAAAATGTTTGTATGTATTGTGTGCAAAAAAAAATTGTACGTTTCCAGCTTTTACACAGCTGTCTGTCTGTGTGCGTGTGTGTGTATGCACTCGACTGTTATCTGGGCTCCACTTTGCCCGTTTCTTTGTCTCTCTCTCTCGCTCTTTCTTTCTCATTCTCTGGCTTTCACACTCACTCGCTGTAGCTGTCGTCGTATGTTGTTGGTGTTGCCGCTTTGCGCCCCCCCTCTGGTTTGACTGTGACACGTATTTGCTTGGCCCTGCTACCAGTAAAAGCCCTGCTACCTGTGTATGTGTGTTAAGAACATACGTTGTTTTCGGCTTTGTTTTAAAGATTTTCTAAAAAAAGTCATAAGCTTGGCATTTGTTTATTTGCCTTTTATTTAGCTCGTTTTCTGATTAGACACTTGTGTGTGTTGGGTTCTTGTACGGGGCCTTGCCAGCTGTGCGTGTGTCTGGCAACCCTGTACGGTCGGCCCCTCGAATTTGGCCAAATTAACCGCTATGCTGATTCACTTCTAATCGCGTCTCTCTCTCTCTCTGGCTCTCTCTTTCCCCACCCTGCCGGGCTGTTTTCCACATGAATTTGGCTTTAATTTAGTTTTCCTTGTGGCAGCAACCGAAATGCAATTAGTCTGCCTGCCCCACACGCTCTATTTATGATTTAGTTGTACAATTTTTTGTTTGTAATAACGTTTTTTAGTTGTTACTTCGGCGCATTGAACCCTTTCACTTTACAGTGGATATTGGAGGAATGGAATGGCATTCGCAAAATGTTGACCCCAAAGAGAATCCACTTTAGAGTGGAAGCTTATAATAAAAATATAAATCATCATATAAATCAGACTTCACATTCTTGGTAACTTGGATTCACTGTACCAGCATTACACACATGCTGTCTCTGACGTCATGGGGTGACGATGGTGCCCATGCGACTGCTGGTTGTGGTTTCTCCTGCTGCTGCTGCCGCCCCCTAAATTAGAGGTTTCAAATTATGGACAGTGCCCAGAAAAAGAAAATGCATGAGTGTGGGTCTGTTAGAGTGTGTGTGTGTGGCATGCAAATGAGAATGTAAATTGAAACCCTAAACCCCCCCAGGAAGGCTTGCCTGTCGTCCACGTCCTCCCCCGTGGCAAACTCGTAGATCCTGTTCCAAGTTTGCTGCTGACTAATCAGAGAATTGTATTTACTCCCTTCCCATCCCTCCTCCTTCTAGGTATGTTCGAGAAGCGTCGCTTCCGCAACTTCCTCATCTATGTGCAGGACTTCAGGGAGGACGACCCAAAGACCTGGAAGGATTTTGACCCAACCAAGGCCAACATGCAGGGCCTGTACGACAAGTTTGGGCTGGACAAGAACACGCAGGACTTCACCGGCCATGCCCTGGCCCTGTTCCGCGACGACGAGTATCTGAATGAGCCGGCGGTGAACACCATCCGGCGCATCAAGCTTTACTCGGACTCGCTGGCGAGATACGGCAAGTCGCCCTATCTGTATCCCATGTACGGATTGGGTGAGCTGCCCCAGGGCTTTGCCCGCCTGTCGGCCATCTACGGCGGCACCTACATGCTGGACAAGCCCATCGATGAGATTGTCCTGGGCGAGGGTGGCAAGGTGGTGGGCGTGCGCTCCGGCGAGGAGGTAGCCAAGTGCAAGCAGGTCTACTGTGATCCCAGCTACGTGGTCGAGAAGGTGAGTAGAAATACTGCAGATATATCAATCGAATTCTAATCGGTTTCCCCTTGTTCTTTGTGGCGATGGCAGGTGCGCAAGCGTGGCAAGGTTATACGTTGCATTTGCATCCTGGATCATCCGGTGGCCAGCACCAAGGATGGCCTATCCACTCAAATCATCATTCCACAGAAGCAGGTCGGTCGCAAGTCCGACATTTACGTCTCGCTGGTGAGCTCCACCCATCAGGTGGCTGCCAAGGGCTGGTTCGTCGGCATGGTCTCGACCACCGTGGAGACCGAGAATCCCGAGGTGGAGATCAAGCCCGGTCTCGACTTGCTCGAGCCGATCGCACAAAAGTTTGTCACCATCTCGGACTACTTGGAGCCCATCGACGATGGTTCCCAGTCGCAGATCTTCATCTCGGAGTCGTATGATGCCACCACGCACTTTGAGACCACTTGTCTGGATGTGTTGAACATATTCAAGCGCGGCACTGGCGAGACATTCGACTTTTCCAAGATCAAGCACGAGCTGGGCGACGAGGAGCAGTAAGCGTGCAAAGCATCAGATCAGCAAAGCACAGAAGACGACGCCTCATCCCCCCCATGGTTATGGTGCATTTGGACACAGCTCAGCATCAGCCACAAAACATTTGCTAGACACGACGCCGAACGCTTCGAACATCATCCGAGAGGCGTTAACTCTAAAGTGAAAAAAAAAACAAAATACCCAAGATAAAGAAATAAAATCCATACAAATAAAAACAAAACAAAAAGAAACAACAAAAACAAAAAGAAACATTCAGAAATTGTATTACGAAAATGCTTTTCCATCGTGTGAAGAAACTTTTAGATGTGAACATAACGAATTGCTTGCTTGGCGCAATATTGGATATATAGTACATATATGTATGGCCTAGAAAATATATAATATATATCACCCCTATATAATATGAACAATACAGCGAGTATGCATACGAGTATATATAGTACTATATATACAAATGTATTACAAATTTAGGATGTGAATGTTTTTGGCAACTAAATGTGGAAATCCACGCAGAGTGAAGGCGGAATAGTCACACGGTTTATGCTTGGAATTTAGTTGTACACGATAAGGATACACAGATATATATATATCTAATATATATGTTGTGTGACACCCATATATACACATACCAACTACATACATACATATATATATATATATTGTCTATGTACATGGCCCCCAATAGTCTGCTTGGTTCTGTTCTGATTTTGTGATCAAAAAACCACACTCACTCACATGCATAATACAGCATTATTATAATAATAATTGTAATCCAAACACAAAAAACGAAGGCAACAATTAAACTGAAAGTGAAATGAAGGAAATCGATATTAAATGGATATGGAAAAGGCAAAGGAAAGGCAAGAAATGTTTATCCCAGAAATATTATTTGCAAGCCAAACGAAAAGAATATAATCCCAGCAACACACACACACACACACACACCCCAGACAGATGGTCAATGGTCTAGAGATCTATGGTATTCCGCATTTTCAGAATTTACATTTTTAATAAAAAGTAAACAAACAAAAAAATCACAACAATTATACAGCGAGACTTGGGACTTGGATTCGTCGAGACAGGAATCTATCTGATAGTTTGGGATCAAGTTTTATATATTTATTTTTTTAACAAACGTGCAGCTGTGAGCTACGAATGTCATTTAATACATTTTTATTTGGCGGCTCATTTCTCGTTTTCAACTTTACAGAGATTTTGCAGCTACTCGCGCCTATTCTCTTCACATAACTAAAGTAACTAAAATCTGGCTATAATAATCTTTGCCATTATAAAAAGCCGATTGCCGATGAATGCATCTATAAATGATACCCAAACATTTAACTTACAGTCTGCGAAATATTAAGCTTCCAAATCGATACAATTTTTATTTTGTTGCTGTATTTGACAAATGCCTTTCTTTTTTTGTGTGTTACATAGGTGAATTAAATCAGAGTCGCATAATGTAATGCTCATTGAAATCTACGGTAAGACTGCGGATCTAAAATTGGGCAATAAGAGTGGGTTTGGTTCGGAGCGGAGTCGGGTAGTGTAAAAGGATGACGGAAGCGTTTCCGATGGTATAAAGGCCTAACCCATAAGGGGCGCTTTTGTAAACGCAACAAATTTTGGAACCACATTATCATTTTGATTTGGATTGTCGAAAACTGTCTGCTGCGTCTCGAGACCCGTAAGGGAATGGATGCAGTGCATGCCCATCCATCCATATTGCAGGAGAGGAGATTCAACTCTGGACTTCAGGCAAGCATATCTAGTTCTCAAATGCTGAGCCCCTGTCCAAAGATCCGGGGAGACCAATAATATCGCTGGCAAAAAAAGATGCGTAGCTCCTACTCCAAAGACAGTCTCTTTCTTTATTTGGTACAAAAGAAATTATATTTCTGTGGGAATTGCAATACTGCGTTTTGATTTCTGAACGCCTTCTAAAAACAATTTGACCGGTAACTTTATTTTGAATCCAAACGGAACTAGTTCCTGGTGTGATTCCTTTTTCAGAATTAGGTCTGAGCGGTAATCCATGGGTTTTGGTTCCAGTTGGAAAGAGGAAATGAGTTTCAGTCCTGCCAGCTTTTGTCAGCCATTAAAAGGCGTTGAATTTGAAGAGGAAGTTGGGAATAATTCATTGGATTTTTATATTAAGGAGTAAATTATGCCAATTTGAGTTTCCCCTAAAAGAAAGCATCAAAAATAGTTTTTAAAATACAAACACAATATTATTGCAAATTGTAATAATGAGTTGAGCTGCTGATGTGGAACTGCCTCAGGCGTTTAGATGCCCAACCCATTTCTGGTTGCATTTGAACCACGTAGCCATAAAGGTTATAGTTATGGCCAGGAGTCGGTCCAATCCGCTCCGCTCTTTCTGCGCTCTGTGTGACACAATTACGAATTCCGCCGCAGCAAGTGTTTGGCATGCATTTGAAATTCTTTGCCCTGCGCACCCCCTTCCCCTTTCCGCACCCCAAACCATAGCAAGTGGGAAATTCTTATTGAATTGCATGTGGCATGCCACACGAGACTGTGACTGTGACTGGAGCAGGGACTCCACGCCTTGCCTCTCCTCTTCCCTCCAATATGTGCAGAATGCTGAGAATGCTGCTCCCTTTTCCTGTTAGTTTTAATGCTGTCGCTGACAGTTTTTTTTTATCCTTTTTGCCCTATGCCCTCCCATTACTTGACTTTCCTTCTGTTTGGGCCCCGACCTGTCCAGGAAAATGCCGCCAGCATTTTTCCAATTTCCGCATTCAAGCAAAAGGCAAAAGCCCAAAGAAATGTTCACATTCTTTTGCAGCGCAGCGGCCACAAGTGTTTTCAGATATTCAAAGGCTGTGCAAGAGCATTTTCTGAGCAAAGTGTGGGGGCGTGGAAAATAAATAGAAGTTTATGGAAAATTATGAATGCCTCTAACGAGTCTTTTAATATATCCACAATTAAAGAGAGTTTTTATTGTGCATTATATTTATCCCATATTGCTGGCACATCTTACCATCTGCAACTGTCTCATTGTCGTTGATTATGCCATGCTCCATTGGCCCCTAAGCATGGGCTTTTCTTCTCTCTCTCTCTCTCTCCCGCTGTCGCTATTCCTCTGGATGATGATGATGATGATGCTGACGATGATGTGGCCAAAACACGTCGCACCCAAAAGCTGGTCCGGTCAAGAGTTTTACAGCACATTTTTGCAGCTCTTGGTTTCGTCTCGGTTGGATTTTGCTTTTGTTTTTTTTTTGTTTTCGCCCGTGCAAAAAAATGTGTAACTGGGCAAATTGAAGTCAAAACTTTGGCGCTCAGCGCAGCATGCAAGTCACATACAGCAGCTGGTAGCAGTGTGGCAGCAACGGGGAAGCGGCAGCGTGGCAGCTACTATAGGAGTCGGGTGTTGGCAAGCATCTCTGCTTCTGGAAACCGCAGATACAGATACAGATACACACTCAGCCAACAATAATATGTTGCTTGGGGCTCGTTTGACGTTGGCTGCTGCTCGGCCATCATTTGGACATTGGACATTGGCGGCTTATGGACATTGTCCATGTTGCAGGGTGCAAAATTGACGCAGTGGACAGGCTTACACACACACACACACACACATACAAGCAAGCGCATTAGGGCAAACTGAATCCTTGAGCATTCCTTAAAGCGTAATTTGATTAATTATACAAGTTATATAATGCATGCGGCCCGTTGTCGTTGTCGTTGACTCCTACGCCATAATCATCCTCATCATAATCATGAGGGATGACAACAGCAACAACAACAAGAACAAGAAAGGAAGGGAAACTTTGTGCACTGGGAGATAGTTATGATGTTTAGGGGTAAGTTGTGAGTGGTTGTTTTGCTTCAAACAATGATTATATAATCAGCTGAAATGTTCTCCTAATTTCTTTCAGTCATCATAATTCATCATCATTTGTTCCTTATCATTTCTCTCAGTGTTGTGCACTCTCTTTGCCCTTCTTTTCGTATGCTTGCACTTATGCTCTTTGTCGTTTTCATTATTTCCATTGTCAACAACTTCATTATCGTTTGTGCGACACTGTGCAACATCAGTGCCCCTCCTGCACATTGTTTCCCACTCACTCTCTCCCCCTTTTTCTCTCCAGTGTCAAGTAAGACAAGCAAATTTAAATCAATTAAGTAATCTTATTGCCACTGCTGTTGCCGCTGATGCTCTGAAGAGGCTCTCTCTGTGCCTTTTGCCTGCTCTTAGGGGCACATTCACACTCAAACTTATGCACCCACACAAACAAAAACACACAGCAGGCAGCCACACAAAGTCAACACACACTTTTTATTGTACACTCTAGGACAAGAGTATAATCGTTTCTTGTACATTTTGGCAAAGGCAGGAAGGAATTCCTCTTACAAGTGAAGCTTATATATGTATAATATATTTATATGTATTAATATTTCCACTACATGTATTTATTTGTAGCGACTTTATCTTATACATACAAAAACTCCCGCCAAAGACTCTGACTTTTTGCTATTTACGGCATGTAAATCTTCGACTTGCACTGCCAGGCTTTCTCCTTCCCTTCTTTTTATGTTTGTATGTCAAGCATTATAACTGTGGCAATTCCTTCTCATACGTACAGACATATGCACACACATATGCATATGTAACTGCGTATGTGTGGTGAGTGTGTGTTGTTGGCCTGGTGAAACTTTTGCTGTGTTGCATATTTTGTGCAGATTAATTAAATTGCCGGCACGAAGCCGGTAACCAGCGGCTTGGCGTCAGGCGGGGGAAGTGTTAGTGGCAAGTGGCATGGGGGCAGGGTAGTAGCTGAGAGTGGCAAAGCCGTGTTGAGCCCTTTATGGCACTGTTTGCCCCAAAAGTGAAGTGCATTATTAAATGTTATACCCCAAACACGTGATGGGCGGCAAAAAAAACTAAAAAATAAATACTAAAATTAAACAAAAATAAAGCTAATTTTTTCGGCAATTAGTGGAATTATAAAAACGAAGCAAAACATAAACATAAAACAGAAATATTGATAGTGAAACAGTTTCATGCCAAGCAGTTTCATAGCAGCCAGCTTGAGGAGTGTCATAGCAGCCAGGTTTTAGAGTTTTATAGCCGCAGTTGACACAGTT